ATTGTCCTGTAATGTCTTGCCTGGGTTTTCTGGCTGTTGTCTGGAGCATCAGCTATAATTTAGCCATACAATATAATTACTGAATAAGACACACAAATCAACACTTTGAGAATGTATTAAGGAAAAGGTATGCTTACATATATTACCAAACATTGTTATTGACTAAATACACATACATTCTGAAGTAAGGTGGCTAGACGCGCTACTTCCTGAGGACACGTTCTGCACAGGAATTCTAAATTCCCTAAAATAACCAGGTGTCAGTTGTTTGATCAGCGCTGATTGCAAACAACCGACACCTGGTTATTTTAGAGAATTTAAAAATCCTGTGGACGAAATTCCCATGAAGTGGCACATCTGGCCACCTTATTTTAAATTAAATTTTAATGTACTTACATGCATCATCTATGCTATCATTTTCTTCCTGTGGGGTGGTTGGATCTTGCAGGTGGTGACAGATTGACTGTTGATGCACTGGAATCAGCATCATAGTCACTGGGCACTGTAGCAGAAGTTTCTTTGTCCTGACGTGCTCTTTTGGAATGAGGCTGTTTGGCCTTCACAGGACTTCGGATATTTGAAAGTCGCTTCAAGAGCTTTTTGGCAACAGTGTCCTGTACAACAAAACAAAAGCATCAATGAATAATTTTGAAGCAAATTTAGGAGCTGCAATATAGACAAGTTACAGTCAGTTGCAAGAAACTAAAGTTATCATTGATTGAATTCCTTCCGATTTGAAAGAAGGCATTGCATATATCCATACTGAAGCAATGCAAACTACAATGAGAATAGAGCCTTGCTAGATAAAATGACTTCACATTTGATATCTTAATATATTTGTAATGCTTGATAGACTTTTTTTTTTCTTTACTAAACACATTACACATGCAAGTATTTACTGTAGTACTTTTAAACAAACATGTAGTAAATAACACTTAGGTGCATTGGACTGATGTAGCTACATATGAAACAAACACAATCAAATCCAGAGTGATGTGCTTTAGGCCAATACCTTAACAGCTGATGAACAACCAGCATTAAACAAACAAAATGTAATGAAATCCCAAAGCCTAATTAGACTTTCAGCTCACCTGTTTTTAGATAAGAACCATCAAGTAGCAGTATGTTTTTAGTGTATTAGTGTCATTGGCGCCGGGAATCCACAACCTATTAAGCTAGGTTAGCTAGGCAAATAGAACATTAGCATGACATTAGAACCCTTGTAACATACCTCTGAGTGTGGCAATTGAAACATCGTCCAGTTGATCCATAATTCCACTCCACTGACATCAGACAAACGACACTTTAGAACAAATATTCACAGAATTATTAGACCGCTGAAATGACCGCCAAAGTGTGTGCAGAAACTTCTCAAAATGTAACGGACTTCAAGAGGGGCGGGAGGGAGCGCGACACAGTGGATTGTACCATTTTCACAGAGGCAGCAGGGGTAGCCGCTCATCTTAAATAAGTTTATTTTGCATTTACACAAAGTATATTTATCTAAAAAGGGTTCGTATTACTTTGTTATTAAAATTGAGTGACATGAATGTTAAAAATAATAAATGTCAAGTGGTTGCTGTTTTTATAAGACATGGGAACTATGGTAAGTACCCTTGGTATCACAAAATGTATTACACGTAATCTTAGGTTCAGAGGTGAAAGCTATTGGTCTACAGACAATTAGCAAGTTAAAAACACTAATTGAACAGCATTTAAAACATATGAAAAATCTCTTCCCTGATCACAACATTACCCCAAAACAGCACTATTTGATTTATGCTCAATCACAGATAAAATTACTAGGACCAATGGTCCGTCACATGTGCGTTGAGATTTGAATCAAAACATTGTTTTTTCAAACAGTGGGCCTAAAAACTACATTTTAGAAATGTTTGCAAGTCTTTAATAAAACACAATCAAATGTATGAATGTTGTCAGAATGCAAGTGATTCTGAACACCCAATTTTTTTTAATGAGTGTGCTTTGGGACCAACATCAGAAATATGCAACATGTCATATTTAAAAGAAAAAATGAGGGCTTTCCTTAGAAATGATGATATAAACAATGCAGTGTCTGTTAAATGGATTACTCTAAATGGTAATAAATATATACGGGAGAAGACATTACTTTGTGACTGCTGTTAATTCTAACAATTTACCTGAATTTGGACTTCAAAGTTCAAAGTGTTTATTTTGTCATATGCATAGTTAGGAAACATGTTTCCCCGTACAATGAAATTCTTACTTTGCCGTCCACATGAATGCCACAAAATACAAATGAAATATAAAGTAGATCAATAAGTAACACAAAGTCTAAGGCACATAGAATGGGGGTGGGTGGGGCTGGCTGATGAAACAGCACATCAGAAAAAAAATTGCTGTCATAGATATGCAGCAGCAGGTTCTGTCAGGTTCAGATGGCATAACAAATAAACCTTTAATTGTTCTTGTTTCATGGCATTCTTAAATTGAGAAGTTGTACAAGTGGTCTTACTCTTAAAATAAGGCAAATAATCTTGTTGCTCCACTGGGTTTTTATTGTAAAACATTTTATATCTTGTTACTGGCTCATTCTAGCTCAAAATTAGCTGGAATATCTTTATAAGAAAAAGTTAGCCATACTTTCTTAAAATGAGATTATTTTTCTAATGCAAACCATGCTTGACCAGATAAATTTTCTTTCTGGACTTAAAATAAGACTTATTTCCTTGATACAAGGCTTTTTTTTTTTATGATCTGACTATTTTAGGGAGCTGTTGATTCAGTCATTTTGGAGGCTTTTGAACAGTACCAAGTTATACATAGAGGTGTTTCTGTTCTTCATGATAGCCTATAAATAGGGGGGACAAATTAAAAGAAACTGCTATATAAAGCAATACAGTTCAAGGCCAGTACAAACTACATATATACTGTATTTAGCATAAAAGGCATAACACCACTTGACTTTTGTTAAACTTGCACCACTGCTGGTGGAAGGCAGCACAGCCAACTGGAATAATCACAAACAAGATGTACAGAAATCATGCGTAAAACATTTGAGATGAACGTGTTTGGGTGACGCTGTTATCCTATTTCTACTATATAATATAATACAATATAATATATATATATATAATGTGTGTGTGTGTGTGTATGTACATATATATATACACACGGGTCTCTTTTTATAGGTATTTTATTTTTATTTGTATCTGTTTTGCTATTGCACATTCCTTTTGCTTGTTTGCAAATTACTTGTTTACTTTATTTTTCTCAGCCTTATATTGTTTACGTGCCCATTGCTGCCTTACATAAGGACATGTACATATGAGAGCAGCTGTACCAGAGTCAATACTCAAAAGCAAATAGAGGCACTTCATAATTATAATCCACATATTTAATAACTAAGTAATGCAAAAGAAACTTAATACAGCTTTTTTCATGTTATCTCACTGTAGTCTACTGTAGGCACACACACTAATTATACATATTATGCTCTTATTTGGCATGTGTATGTATTGTGTGGCTCTGCTTATACTGCAGCTGATGAATGATCCTGCGTGTGAGTTTTTGTGTTTTAATTATCTTGTGTTCATCACCCTGCTACAGAAAGGTCGCCTCCACTGTGACCCCACCTTTGAGCTAGAGGAGATGATCCTGGAGTCGCGTCCCCTTCACAAGAAGAAGAAGAGACTGGCCAAGAACCGGTCTCGAGATAACAGCAAGGATTCACAGTCTGTGAGTGACATCATCCTTTGCACAGAGTTATAAATCACCCATAGAGCTACCATGTGTGACGTTTATCTATGGCAGCAAATCACTCCGACAGTCAGGTCGGTTAACGATGGAACACTCTTTATTGGGTACAACATGAGACAGGAAGTGCCTTGCTTCTTTTCTGTCTAGAAACCCCGGGGGTCTGCCCAACGCACATGCGCAGTAGAATAACTAAAATATATTCACTTCACGTGACATCTCCCCCCTTTTAACAATGGGCAAACAACACATCAACCCTCCTGTTTAACACGTACATTTCTCCCTCTATATTCCCTTTTTGTTTTTTTTGCATATATATATATAAAACTAAACACAACCGTAACTGTCTAAGGGTGTGGGTAGACTACCACGATCCCTAGAGATGGGACAGGGATTATTCTGCCCTTGAAGTCCCTCATCTCTACTAGCTAACATACAACTTTACTCTGGGTTTGGGGGGAACCAGGAGGTCCGGCAGGAACATTACTCCTGGTAGCACTAGAGTACTGCCCTACTGGCCCACACTGCTCATTTGGATCATTTGGCTGAGAAATGTCCATCTCTAGGGGAAAGATCAGTTCCTGATCCCCCAGGCGGATATGGCGCCGATTCCTCCTGGGCGTACCGCCACACCCAGTCTCCAGGGTGAAGGAGCGCGGTGTGGCCTCCTGGCGCTGCACCGTCGCTGTGGTCGTCCAAACTTTTTCCTCATCAGTCTTTATTCTAACTCTTTCACCTACAGACAGTGTGGGAAGAGTTTTGGTGGAGTATCTGCGGTTGTAGTATTTCTCGTAGCACCGCTTTGCTTTTGTATCATTCATTTTAACAGTTTCAAGATCAGGCCACTTCGGCAGCAAACTCTCTTTTAGTACTGGAAGAGTCGTGCGGATTTCCCGACCCATCAACAGCCTGGCAGGGCTTTCCTTCGTTGGCTCTGTTGGTGTTGAGCGATAACTCAGTAAAGCTAGGTCGGGGTCGTCTTGTTTCAGAATCCACTTTGCTGTCTTTATGGCTCGTTCGGCCATGCCGTTGGATTGTGGGAAATGGGGGCTGGAAGTGATATGTCGGAAGTCACACTTAGCCGCAAAGCATCTAAACTGTTCTGCTGCAAACTGAGGGCCGTTATCAGTCATGAGCTCCTCTGGCATTCCAAAACGTGTGAAGATGCCTCCCAGTTTGCGTATGATGGTGTCTGAGTTAGTCTTTGGCAAATCCAAGATTTCAAGCCATCGGGAGAAGTAGTCTATCACGACTAAATAGTGACGACCTTTGTATTCGCACAGGTCGGCAGCAAGTTTTTGCCAAGGCAGGTCCGGCAATGGGGTGGTGATCAGTGGTTCTCTGCTCTGGTTCGGTCTGTAGATACTACAATGTTTACATGCTGTTATAAGCTTCTTCACATCACTGGCGATACCAGGCCACCACACTGCGCCTCTATATCGCTCTCTGCACTTTGTAAGTCCCTGATGACCCTGGTGGATTTTCTGCAGCATGTTTTCTCTCATACTTTCAGGGATTACAATCTGTTTTCCTCGTCGCAGTAGTCCGTTAGCTTCACTAAGTGAACCACGCTCTTTGAAGTATGCGTT